GTCCAGGTCAGAGGCTGCTGGAGAAGGTTGGCTGTGAAATAAAAGAGGGAGTGTCACTGAACAGTGGCTGTGAGTTGATGGGCCTTGTCCTTAAAAATCATTAAAAATGATGACTCATTAAATACAAGGGTGCCGAGAAAGAAGTAGGTGGGAATAATGGGACTTTGGAAACCTGGGAAGTTTTGAAACCCGATGACTTGTGGAATATTAACATTTATAACTAGATAATGAAAACCTGATTGGCAGCATGTAGGCTAAAGCTTTGTCATCACAGTTCATTTTGAGCCTTACTGCTTGAAATTGGAATCATGTGATCCTGTAGTAACTATGTAATCTGTGGGATGGAAATTCTACGTGTAAAATGAGGAGACTCTTGCAACATTACTGTTAGGTTGGTTGCTGGGGCCAATTTCTGGTTCAGAGGAGAGTAGGTGGATAGAGACCGGGCCAGAATCTGTACTGTAGGTGACGCTTGACCTTGGCATCAGCCTACCTTTCCTGATTCCCTTCTTTCTCAGGACTTGGTACTTTTAGGGTGCCATCTCCTACTTCGGGACAACTAAAGGACACGGGGTCCTAAAAGGTGGACTACAGCAGCCCAAGCTGGCAGCATCTGCTTTAAGAATAAGCTCTGTTAGTTCACAAAGCATTTGAAACAGTTTTGAACATTTACAAATCACAAGACGGAAGCTTTGGCTTTTGAACTATGCACCTAGGTCTTATTCTCAGTGGGAGAGGCACTACCTTCTGACCCTGGTGACTTGATTGCATTTTATGCTATTGAAGCTAAACTTGTGCCATCAGCATTGGGCTTGTTTTGGTTGTGGAGACAGTAAGCTATTCCTCATGAACTGTTGAGAGGGTTTTTTATTTTAATTCGTTGACAGTTTCATACATGTATATAATGCATTATGATGGCACACATTTTTGCCATTTTAAAAATACTTTAAAATGTATTCTTTGAAAAGTTTCATTCATGTATACAATGTATCTTGATCATACCCACCCCTTCCCCCCTCCAGCTCCCTGTAGGAGTCCCACCCCACAGCAAATACATCTCACTATCATTTTCATGTCCTTTAAAAAATACATTTTTTTTTTCAGCCAGTAAGTTCAATTAGCTGCTCATATTCATACCCACTGGGTCATGGGCAACCTACCAATGGCTATATCTCAAAAGAAAAGTGACTCTCATCTCCCAGAAGCCATCAACTGCAAGTAACTCCTCAGCTAGGTGTGGTGGGGGCGTTTAGGGGAGAGGCTTTGTGGCCCCTCCCCCATCTATGCTGGAACTTTTAACTGGCTTGATCTTGTGCAACTTTTGTGCAGGTAACCACAGCTGCAATGAGTTCAACCATAGGTTTTAACTATGCTTACAGTACCAAGCATGAAATCCCTCTTGCAGGAAGGCTTCAAATTCAGTCAAGGGAATGGTTGGTTATTCTCACAGTCTTGCCGCTGTTGCAGCAGTGGACACATGTTGCTTGGCGGGTCTGTATTTTATCACGTAGAATCTAGTGCTAGGTAAGAATGTTGGTGTCTTTGTTCTCTCAGCATCCTGTGTAGCATCTTTCAGTACTAGGAAAGCTAGCTAGCCAGTAGAGTTTTCTACTCAGTTCAACTGATTTCTCTGTGTCCTGGAACCAAAGTGTGTGATGTCTTAAGCAGCCTCACCCCTTCCTAGGTCCTTCCACCTCTGCTGATCACCCTCTCATCCCAGCGAATCTCCCTCCCATCCTCGTAGCTGTTTTGTTTTTGTGTTGTAAACTTCTTGGTTTGTAGTTGTCCCGACCCGCAGGACAGCAACCTATGGGGACAAGAGATGCGAGAGAATGACCACAAGACAGGATTCTGATCATGTGGCAAATTTTATTTTTCCCAGGCTAGCTTATATAGTTACTAGAGTGGGGTAAAGGGGAGAAAGAGAAGAAGCCAAGAGCCAGGTGTTAGTTTAAGCGGGATGTTAGAAAACTATACAAGGAGGATGTTGGCAGGGTAAAAAGTTCATGGGTGGTGGGGGGAGGGAGGGTTACCTAGGTAAGTAGAGGGGTGAGGGAGGGTTGCCTAGGTAAGTGGGCCTGTGGTTGGAACAAAGGATTGATGTCTCAAAGGTTCATGCCAAGCTGTATGTGCCAACATTGGCTTAACTAGTGGACATTGTGTGGCACTCTCCCCTGGAGCCTGGACAACTCAACAGTAGCTACACCACTGAAGACAAGGACTTCCCTTCTCTAGGCAGCCATGACTGCCAGTAGTTCCCAGGGAAAGAATAGGACCCTATGAGTCTTTTCCCCATACTTGGCTAAACGCCTATTAGCCCAATCTTGTACAGGCTCCATGAAGGTGATGTAGCTGCTGTGAGCTCATGGGTACAGAGATCATGTCATACCCAGGAGACAGCATTTTACAGTCCTCACCACTGCTCTCCTCTAAAGTTCTTTAAGCCTCTTCTTCTGCAGTGTTCCCTGGGTTCTGGAGTGATACCAGTATCCTGTCTATGGCTGGGCTTTCAACTGTCACTTATTCTCATCACCTTGGTTAGTTATGAGTGTCTGCATTAATCACCACTTGCTGTGAAAGTGAAGCTTCTCTGATGAAGGCTGAGGGCAGCGCTGGTCTATAGGTATGAATATAAATAGTTATGGGACAGTTTGGCAATATATCGTTTAGTAAAATAGAAGAAGCATGTTTACCCTTAGGGCCTGTGATCTCCCCAGCAGCCATGGGCCTTTGGCCACATCCATAGCGTCATGTGTGAACTTCCTTTAGAACAGCCTCATACTTAATTAGAAAGCAGTTGGTTATCCGCAAAGCAGTCCTGCTGCGATTGCACCAGTGGACACATAATGCCTGGTAGGCTGGTATTGTAGTATATAAGATTCTCAGCTGAGTATTATTTTTCTTCTCTAGCTTCCTCCATACTAACTTCTGGCACTATGAAAGCTAACCAGCAGGGAATAAGTGTTCCAATTAGTTCTAGCTTGATTTCTCTATGTATATGGTGTCTTCAGCAATAGGGTGTTAGCTGTGTAGTGCCAGTGGGCAACCTTGACAGGAGTTTTTGTGTTTGGAAACATCTGACAATAAGCAAATGACCTCTTTGTTCAAATCATGCCTTATTTTCCCTGGTATTTTCTTGAGACAGCAATGTCCACGTCACACTCAGCAATTATGTAGCCTACTAACAGTGAGAAGCAGTCATAAAGGGTAAAGCAGTTATAAATGGTATATTTAGCTGGTTCAGGGATTCTTGGTATGCAGCTGGTGGTAGTGCCACCAGGCCTGGTGAGGAAGATAATTGGGATTTTTGAGACCACCTGAAGAGCTTGGATTGGTGGGTAATTAAGAATACACGGACTCACAGTTCACCACCTCATCACTCCAAGATGAAGTCCCCTGTCAGGTTAATCATTCTGTAGTTGTTTCACTGGCTGCTTTGTAGCTCTGAATCCAAAAGAGGTTTACTATGACTTTCTGAACAACATATGTGGATGTCAGAATTTACTGTGTGACTTAGAGGAGAGCCAGAAAAGTCTACTGGCAGAGCATAGGCACAAGCTAGGAATTACAGCTCACTTAGAAACATCAGGAGCCATGTTCTAAATCCACCTATATCTTTTTTTTCTTGGGCAGAAATGGAATATGTTCTACTAAGGATTGTAAACTTCCATGGCTGTGTACATGGAGATGGTGTATATTTCTGCTATTGTCTTCCAGAAATAGAAGGCTGCTCAGTGTAGGAGTTATTGTAGTTATTGCACACACACTTTCTACAGAGATCTCACTATGATTTAATTAAAGGTTTATATGGATTAGTTTCTTTGGATTTTCTCTGGGGAAAAGAAATAAAATCATCAGTGACGTGGTGATTGCTAGGAAATCTTGAAAGGATGTTTGATCAAGGATGCTTCAGAATAATTGAGCCAGTCCCAGAGGTCTGTAAGTAGTGTGTCATTAGATCTGGATTGTTCTGGATTTCAAGTATGGCACTCCATCCTTTGCATCTTGTTGGAGGGGTTGAGATGTTGGGATTTGGTGTCCATTCATATTGTTTCCATTTCCCGCAGCTGCATGTAGTAAGATGTTCGATAATAAAGCTTTTTTAAAAGGTGTGTGTGTGTGTGTGTGTGTGTGTGTGTGTGTATGTATGTATGTATGTATGTATGTATGTATGTATGTATGTGTGTGTCGGTGTGCATGCATAAAGGAAGGGACACACAGAGGCCAAAGGCTGTGTAAGATCTCCTGGATCTGGATGGTAGCCTGTGACATGTGTGGACAACTGGACTTGGATCCTCTGGAAGAGCAGCAAGAACTTTGAACTGCTCAGCCGTTTCTCCAGCCCCATCAAACTTTAACAATTTTGTCTTTGCATAATTTACATAGTTGAATATTTTTAGATTTCTTGGCTAACATATATTACTAGTGCCCAGTGTTTGATATATTAGCATCTACTGTAAAATATTGAATTTCATTAAATCCCAGAAAACCAGATTTACTTTTCTGATTAGTTAAACAGGGTATAATTTTGTGATTTTCATAGTTTGACAAGAATACCTCTAATGTAGAGATGTAATAGTCTGATGTTTAGGCTAAAGTGTAGCACTTGCCCTGTGTGTGTGCAAGGGCTTGGGTTCAATCTGCAGTACCCCAAACTCATTTAATGTTTTAAAAACTAAGGCGGTGACTTCTTTTTCCTTAGGTTTCAGAAATGATTTGATTTGTAAAACTTTTTATTATTTTCAGGATTGATCTTACACAGGAAGACTATGCTGGGCTTTTCAGATCTATTAATGGGTAAGTTGGCTTGATATTGTATCAGGTCTTAATACAGTGTGTCAGTGTGCACATATCAAAGTTTTGCAAAGTGTATGTACGTATGAATGTTGTGTGTTTCTATAGAGCTATCTTGAAGTTTTCTGATAATTTACCAAGTGCTCCAGTAAAGCATGAGAGGCAGGACAAGGGCTAAAGGCAGGAAGAT